CGGCAGCCACCCCCGTGCCTTCCCGCGCCGCCTCTGAGCCCCGGGGCGGTGCTGGGCCCCGCGGAGGACACCGGCCCGGCCTGGACGTGCGGCACAGGGCCGAGTGCGGACACTTGGGAAAGCCCTGCGCGTGACCGAGGGGCCGGGGACCGGGACACGACGTCCCCCAGAGACAGCGGCGGCCTCCCTGCCATCCCCGCCGTCATCATCACCGACCTGGGCGCCCAGGAGGACGGCGCCTCGGAGGAGCCCCAGGGGAGCTCCCGCGGCAGCCTGCCCCTGAGGAAGCTGTCCTCTTCCTCTGCCTCCTCCACCGGCTTCTCCTCCTCCTATGAGGACTCAGAGGAGGACATCTCCAGTGACCCCGAACGCACCCTGGACCCCAACGCAGCCTTCCTGCACACCCTGGACCAGCAGAAGCCAAGAGTGGTAAGTCGGGTCCTCGGGTTTTGTGGAATCCATGCTGCTATCAGCAGACCATGACTGCTCCAGTCTACCCCCCCCCCCCCCCCAGTTTTCTTGCTTTCCACTGAGTTGTGGAGACTTGAGCAGGGCTTTGTGGAAGTCACAGCTCCCGGCGTGTGTGTGTGTGCTGTGGCACGCTGAGGTTCTGGCCACGCCCTCTGTAGTGGGGGCAGTAGTCTGTCGCTCTGCTGTCCGGGATACCCCTCTCCCTGGGAATATGCGTCACGCGGAACTTCCCGGTGAGTCCCCACAGTGAGCACAGCTGCCGAGTCTAGCTTTTGTCTGATCGGGTGAAACACTTAAGCCGGGATTCATTCAGGCTGACAAAGATGCCATCAAACTAACCTGGCCTTTCCTAGTAGGCCAGACCGGCCGGTGGTGATGGGAGGACAGGCCTGGCCCTGAAGATGCATTTGTGGGAGGCCATGAGAGAGCAGCCACAGGGCCTCGGTAGGGCTGGCCAGGACATGGCAGTATCCTGTGGTCAGTGTAACTGAGGTACAGCTTGATGTGTGAACTGAAGTGAAAACGATGCTGTAAGCCACGCGGTTTCCTTGGTAACAGTGTTGTTTGAAGTTGAATTGCCTGCAGCAGGCACCTTGGAGGTGACTCCTAAGGGGGTATGCCCCAGCCGGTCCCCTGCAGGTGTGTTTTCTAGTGTGTCCGTAGGCATGGCTGTGTGGACCATCATGGCCTGCTTGCCGTCTCGGGGGTCTGCTCCTTTCAGAAGAACGTAAGACTTGAAGCTTCTACCCAGTCTGGCCTTTCTCTTGGCCGAGTGTGGGGACTTTCTTGCTTCCAGCATGAGGGCTTGCGCCGCCGGGAGGTAGCCTTGGGATTGGGGCTTGGCTGTCTGATGCAGTCCACTGCACCTCAGTAACTTCCTCCTCCACAGCTGAGGGCTTTGGGTGGCTGCTCGGCACCCTTTGTTCAGGGTTTTGGACTCCCAAAGCATGTTTCTCTCCTGCTTCGGCTTCAGAAATCTGTCTGAGTTCTTTTCTGCGAACTCTGCTTTCCGCTGGTAGTCTGGACCAAGGATGAACTTGGTGTCAGGACAGAGCACAGGCTCCCTGCACCTGGAGAGGGGCAGAGGAAAAGCGCCCTGTGGCCCAGGAGCCCCCCCTGCCCCCCAGCAGTCGAGGGCCCAGCGGATGAGGACAGCTGGTGCGCCGCTCTTCGCTGCCTTTGCTTCTGGAACCCTGAAGCTTGGCTGCATGCCCGCCGCGCTGTAACTTGTTCTCCACCTTCCCGTTTGCCCTTTCTTGTGGTGGATCAGCAGCTCTCATTGGCTGGTTATCAAAACAGTTTGTATAGCCTGATGTTGGAAATGAGGTCTTGTCTGCAAATACACTGAAGATGAGATACACGGTGACAGCTGATTTTTTTTTCCATTTGCTAGAGAGGTTCCAAGTGGGAACCCAGACGGGTAAGTGATGTTTTCAAGCCAGGTGACGTTGAGAGGTAGCAGTGAGGCTACCGTCATCTACCTCGCACCTGTAAATAGAGTTAGACACCCACAATGTAGAACTAGGGGGAAAAATCTCTCACTGAGCTCCCTCTCTGAATGGGGTGTGTGTGTGTGTGTGTGTCTGTCTGTCTGTCTGTCTGTCTGTCTAGGGGTAGGTCGCCAACTGGAAATTATGGCAGACACGGAGCACGCACATGCTCACTCTCACGCGTGGCAGAGTCGGCGGTGTCCAGGGCCCCCGGTGGTATGCCCCATGTTCCTCTAAAGAATGGCTTTGTGTGATGCTGTGTGCCCCAGCTGGTGTGGCAGGAGGTCTCCCACAGGATCAGACTCACAGCTTGCTCAGCTGTGATGGTGCCACATGCCTGCCTACAGTGAGTGGCTTACATTTGGACCCGTGGACACTCTTCTGTGAGACTGGGTAATGTGCCGAACTCGGGTGGTGTTCTCTCTCTTTCTAGACAAGGCAGACTCCCTCGGTTCTCCATGTTCCTCTATTGGTCTACGTAGGAAGACCTGGGCCTCAGGAGGAAAGTACCTAGCTTGTATCGATTTTTCCAAAATTGTGCTATCAATTATATGTACACAAACAAAACAAAGCTGAGCACTGGTAGCTCACACCTATAATCCTAGATACTCAGGAGTGTGAGATCAGGAAGACCAACGTTCAAGGTCATTCCTGGCAGAAAAGTTTGTGTGACTCCATCTCCAAAATAACAAGTCAAGGCTGGATGCTTGGGTTCAAGTGGTAGAGCCAGTTCAAAGACTGTCAAAGAAAATGAAAGTATTTGGCCACCATAAAATCCTTTCACATAAATAAGAAGCAAAACTGAGGTTGATTGTCAACATCGCTTGTCATGCAAATATTTAGGCTTTGCCGGAAGACTGCTGGACAGTTACCCAGCGTTTGGACTTACAAGAAAGCCTAATAAAGTAATGCTGCTTTCAGAGGCTGGGTTGCACAGTTGCCATAAACCATCCTCAGAATGAGCCAAGAAGTCTACCTGCTACTGCGTTGATTTTCTGATCTTGTTGGCACAGTTGTGAAATGTCGTGACAGATTAGATTAGTTTTATGTAGTTTATTTCTATTCCTAGGAGCATTGATAACATTGCTTAGGCTTATTTTGTCAGGTGTCAACTTCAACTTAGTTACTGAAAGAAAAAATGTTTGAAGGATTTTGTACATAGTGGGGAAGCCGTAAGACTTCGAATAGTCAACAAGTGATTCACAAGTAGCTCAGGAATTGTTCCCTTTAACCTGTGTTGACAGGACAGGAGACTGTGGCCTTGGATCCTGTGATGTTGTGCTCTCAATCCTGACAAGTGTGAGCCTTACAAGGAAATTTCCCCCCCTTCCTAGGTAGAATTGGCATTGTGATTCAGGAGGAGTTCATTGCTTACAAAGGCACCCACTGAACGCTTCCATGGGGAGTCCCCTGAGTGCCGGCTATTTCTTGGGGATTTTACACGACCAGTTGCCAGAGTGTCACTTGACTATCCATCACTAACCGAACAGTGGGGTCACCTTGGAGACCTGGGAAAGCTACCATCTTGTGCTCTGCATTTCTCTCCATGTGCTCCTCCGTCTCAGGCCTGGTACTTCTCTCTGTGTGCAGTTTTGGAACTGGGGATTATTTGGAGGCTCCATGAGACCTGGACGAAGAGCGGGTAGCAAAAGGGCCTGCTGTATTCAAGTCTTAAGGGAAGAGGACCAGCGCGACCCCTGTGTGTGGAGTTTGTGTGCTGGGCTCAGGACAGACCCCAGGCCGGGCTCCAGGCTCTGTGCCAGGGCTGCATTCAGATAGTCATTTCATCCAACATTCCCAACTTGTCTGGTATGTTTCTCCACAGTTCTATGAAGAATGCACTGTTAGAGGGCTGGAAGTGTGGCTCAAGTGGTAGAGCATCTGCCCAGCAAGCATGGGTATCCTGAGTTCACGCTCTAGTACCACCAAGGAGAAAAAGTTCAGTGCTGGAAATGCGATCTTCTCCCTTTGATGAGTTTCACTTGGGCCTTTTATTGCCTTGATAGCACGCAACAGAAACCCATCCAACAAAAGTCAGAGCGCTACATGTTTATATTCTGTCAAGGTTTTGATTCTCTTGTTTCACATTTCACATCAGCTGCTATACTTTGTAGCTAACCAGGGCTGGGGACACATCTCTGTTAGAACACTCGTGTAACACCTGTGAGGCCCTGGGTTTGATCTCTAGCAGTCTAAAATAGAATGTTTTATAAGGAACAAAAATAAGAGCACCGGGTGATGAGGCAGAATGAACCTGTGCACTTGTTATTTCTTGGGAGAGGGGGGCTAGGTATTGTTTATCTCCCCATCTATGAGTATGTAGAAAAACAGCGCAGGGAATCAGGCAGTCTGGCTAGTGTGGCTGGGGAGTGCATCCATAGTGCCACTCTCCGTGAGCCTGGTGGCCTTGCGTTTTATTTTATAATCAGGTTCCGTGTGGAAAGGGAAAATGAAATGATCCAGACCCACAGCTCCTCTGGTGGGTGACAGGACCAGGCGCACCTGACCCAGCAGTGACGCACGCGATGCCGGCCTGGGCCCTTCCTCCCTGGGTTCCCTGCCTTTCGCAGTCAGGTTGGTCCCGGTGCATCCTGGGAGGGGACAGCTTAGATGTTTTGCCCTTGGCCTTTGGGCATTGATAGAAGTTTCTTTCATTACCTCTTCTGAGGGGTTGTCTCTACTCAACCTCCTCCTACCCTCATCCATTTAAGCAGAATGAATAAATCCATTGTCCTGTTTTCCAAGAAGCAGCTGTGATACATTTTCTATTACCAGTGCTTAACATTTGCCTTCGCTGTGGGGTGTGTTCAGCTTGCGTTAGCAGGCGGAGTGGGGTTCCTGATGCCTGGCGGTGCAACCTACCCCCCACTCAACCTGCCATCTCTGTAATTATTGCTGCAACTAGAGCTGGGGCAGGGCCCAACCTGGCCTGGGGACCGGACAATTACGAGAGAGGTCACTTCCCCCCACAGTTCCCAGCAAGTGTTTTTCCAATTTCACCAACATTCTTTCCAGGCTCAGCTCAATTTGTTTTCCTCTTCACTATGGCAATTGATGACTAGGTTGTAAAACGTATAATTGGGCAGGATCTCCTGCTGAGTGCCCCAGTGGGTAGGAGCCGTGTTTGTCTACTCTCCTGCTTATGCACACATGTGTAATATTTTCTTTATACACGTCGGTGATTTAAGCTGTAGGTTTGGTGAGACCCGCCTCCGCGTGGTGGGGCAGGGGAGGGGTGGGGCGGGTCTCCTATAATCCTTATCACACCTGAATCTGTGAGCAGGAAACTGGAAAGGCCTTGTCCACCGAGAGATAAACAGTTTAATCTCCTGACAATGTCAAGTGGAAAATCCAACCAACTGCCAGGAGTCTGAGCAACGGCTGGGAGATTTTGTCAGGGCCAAATAATTCCAAGAAGCAGATTACTGAGTGGAGGGCGGGGAAGCTGGGGGCCGGGAGGTGGGGTGG